AACTATTTCCTATTTAATTTCAAAACTATTATTGTGATTTATTGCATATTATACTTGATTATTGTTTTGATTCAATTATTTTGTTCTAGTAATTATCAATCTTAGAAAAAATTAATCACGTTTAAACATATCGTTAAAACCCTATTCACTCCCATCTAGGGTTGCCATACCGATCTAACACAAATGACAATCCGTCATCCATTAATTTCTTTTGATATTTAAATATACAGTTTCAATGAATGATTTTAATTAATGTCCAAACCTTTACGTTTACAACCACCTATTAACGAGTTGATCTAGAACCTTCTTACGTATACCTAATCCAAATGAAAAAATTTAATTTCTTGATTGATCATAAATTTTTTCTCCACTTAAAACGAATTTTAATAGCAAAAGGAGGGGAAATAAAACAATTTTAAATGAAGTTAGAAAATAAATAAATAAATAATCAATTATTTGGTTGAAATTAAAACTGTGTCGTTTTGTTACTCATTGGGGGAGACGGCAGAAAAGGTGTCGGTGGGTTGAGTTTCTTTGCTTTCCCATTCGGTGCCTGAGACTTTGGGACCAAAGAAATGGCATTTTAACAACAAATTCCATTTTAATGGAAAATTTAAAATAAATAATAAATAACTATAGGAGGATTGTGACAGTTGGATACGGCGTCGTTTCGACCAACTAATTTTTAAAATTTTTATTTTATTTATTTCTCTAGTTCCATCACTAATAATTTTTTTTTAATTTAACTATGAAGTAAGGTGAGAAATCCCATCTCTTGATGTAAGGAAAGAAGTGATGGGATGAAATTTTGGATAGACAAGATTATTTCAAGTGGGTGTAATAATTATCGACGTATAACCTAAATTGATAGCACATGGATGGTCTTGTCTATGTGTGACATCCAAAAAAGACGATCAATAATCTTGATCCTTATTTTGATTGTAGTTTAGTTTATTAGAAGAGATTTTTATTGAAAAGATGCTGTTAAGGTGTACATGTTTCACTAGTTATGTTTACGTATAACTTGAAATAAAAAAGTCGAACTTATATTTCAGATGTGTGTTTGCTTAATTTGAAGTCGAGTTCATAAAATTACCTAACATTTTGACTCATCCAAATTTAATTTTTATATGGATAGTTGTTGAATGATTAATGGGTGGGAAGATAATAATTGTGGGAGCATTTTGATTTGGTATGAAAAGAAGAGGCAAGAATTTGATTGCTATGAAAGGACGTTAGTTTTGTGAGAAACCTAAGCAATCAATATCCATAAAAAGGCATTTAATTAAATAAAATTAACAATCTTTTCTTTCTAAATCAACTTTAGGCTTTAAATATATATGAAAAGAAATAGCCCTAACTCAAATCTACCATTCATCAATATTGTTCTTTTCGAATTTTCTTTTTTGGACTTTCTGTCTAAGTTTTTAAAATAGTATGCTAAGGAATCTGTTAGGAAAAAGTTTCCACACCCTTATAAAAAAAAATGTGATATAGGATCTCACAATCCATCACAATCCACCCCTTTCAGAGCCCAGTGTTCTCGCTGGCACTCGTTCCACTCTCTAATCGATACAAGATCTCACAATCTACTCCTTCGAAGCCTCACATTTTCATTAGCACTTGTTCCTCTCTCCAATAAGTGTAAGATCTCACAGTATCAAATATTTTAAACAAGACTGTTATTATGGATTTGGACTTATAGCTTCAAACATACCTGATAAATAAGGTTGTTATTATGAATTTGGACTTATAGCTTCAAACATACCTGAATCAATTTATTCGTATTCTTGACAGTTGAATCAACTCAAGAACAATAACCATCAAAATATTATCATCAAATTGGTTCGAGAAAAGTGGAAGAGATAAACATGGTAAGGAAAGCTACATGAATGGAAAAACAATGAGCCCCACAATTTTGGTAGTTGAAATATACCTTATATTGGCTGTACATATAGCACTAACTTCATAAGAAGAAGACGTACAACATGTGGTGGTGTGACAAATTCAATTTGACTATTGATTAGTATGTATAACCAAACTTTTGGCTGCGCTTCTAAAAATAATAATAACTAACCAAACTTTAGGCACGAAATTGCATAAGCTTTGCCCATTTATTGAGCTTTAGGCACCTCATTTACAACATGTTCTTTTCTTTGAATTTAGCAAACTCCAACAAGAAAGCTCCACTTTCTTTTTATGCTTTCTTTCTCCCACAAAATGCAAATACCTATGTTTGTTTTAGTCCCTATTCGAGAGAGCAAACGATCATAATTCAACTTCTAATATATTTAAAACCGTGCTAAAACTAAACTTATTATTAACTGCAATCAAATAGTAAAAGAATGATTCTAAGTAAAATTTGAAAATTTGATTAAATTGAATGCTATACGAGTGACATGTACAATCATATTTAAAAGTATCGAAAACATTAAAGAAATTATGGGATAATTATGGAACTAAAAACCTATTCAACTATGAAGAAACACTTTTCCCACTCCCACGTGAAGAGAAATCAAGGCATTATTTTAAAACTTAAAATAAGCATGATCGTTTTACAAATAGGGAAGTGGATATGTTCCCCTTAATTTTGGAAAGTGCCAAAGTTCCATAAAATTATGGGTATTTTTTTAATGTTATTTTCAACTTTATCACATGGTTTAAACAAGAAATGCATGTTTTATACGAATCAAGCATATAATACCCCATGCCCATATAGAACTTAATGCCAACTTTGTCTATAAAAAGAGAGCCTATGGAATATTTTATTAGCATATAAATTATCACGAGGAATTAGCATAGCTATAACCTAAATTTATAAACCTACCTACCAAATATACACTCCACTATCAACCTAAGTTATACAAACTTTAACTCATGAGTCCATTTGAATATCCGAACGACATAATATCTGAGCTTTCATCAACATATGAACAAGATACACAAACTAAAAGTTTATCGACATGATTTTAAAATTAAGACACTATTCAGCTCTCTATTCTTTGTAATGTCAGGAGTGCGACCAAAGTCTTATATTAACTAAGCAAGGAAAGACAACTATATGGTGTCAATCTGATCATAAAGACAACTACCTGGTGTCAATCTGAGTCATAAAAACTTAGGTTCAAAATGGACAATAAAAAATATCGAAAAAGGTCGATGGTTCCCCACACTAACTTTGATGAATGGAGTTCCTTTTTTCCTCCTAGAACTTTTAATGGGGAGCAAAACTAAAGAAGGGCCTTCATGCATCTTAAAGAAATGAAAGAATGTGTCACATAGACGCATATAAAAGAGACCCCCACAAAATTGGTCCAATTCCCATCTCTATAAATTAAAATCTTTTCTTTCTTGCATGCCCAACACTCACTTTGCTTTCTTCCTTCTCTCTCTATCACCCCCTCCCCCTCTTTCCTAAGCAAAGAGAAAAGAAACAAGGTGGCAAAGGAAGGAAAAAATATGCTTGCAGAAGAGAAGTTCCAAAAGTACCCGACAATGGCAGAGGTACGAATTCTTAAAGAAAAAAACTTCTCAGAGAATAATAACTAACATAATAGAACTATATATTATTAATGGCTTACCTGTTTGCTAACTCTTCTCTGGAGTCTGTTTTGAAGGTGCTGGACGAGCTGAAGCAAATGGCTGACATTGGGTTCCCTGTTTTGGCAATCGGCTTAGTGGGCTATCTCAAAAACATGATCTCTGTTATTTGCATGGGCCGGCTTGGCACTCTCCATCTCGCCGCCGGTTCTTTGGCCATCGGCTTCATCAACATAACTGGCTATTCAATTCTCTCCGGCTTAGCCATGGGAATGGAGCCACTCTGCAGCCAGGCCTTTGGCTCTCACAATTCCTCCATTGCGTTTCTCACTTTACAAAGAACGGTTCTCATTTTGCTTTTTGCTACTATCCCCATTGGGTTTCTTTGGCTCAATTTGGAGCCTCTAATGTTGGTCCTCCACCAGAACCCAGAAATCACTAAAATTGCAGCTGTTTATTGCCGTTTTGCAGTCCCTGATTTGGTATTGAATAGCCTTCTCCACCCTTTGCGTATTTACCTAAGAAACAAAGGCACCACTTGGCTTGTCATGTGGTGTAATTTGTTGGCTATTCTCTTACATGTCCCCATTGCCATTTTTTTGACTTTCTCTCTTGATCTTGGAATCCGTGGGATTGCGATCTCCAATTTTATAGCTAATTTCAATACCCTTTTCTTCCTTTTACTCTATTTGATATTCAACACTCGCAGTACCCTTTCCTCCTCATCTTCCAAGGAGGCTAATCTATTTGTGCCACTGAAAAGCAGCACTGCCGTAAGCGCCGTAACGGTGGGGGAGGATTGGGGAATGCTGATCAAGTTGGCCATTCCTAGCTGTCTAGGAGTCTGCTTGGAATGGTGGTGGTATGAATTCATGACCATTCTCACTGGGTACCTCTATAACCCGCGGATTGCACTTGCGACTTCAGGCATTGTAATCCAAACAACTTCGCTAATGTACACATTACCAACGGCTCTCAGCGCCGCTGTTTCAACCAGAGTTGGCCACGAGCTCGGTGCAGGCGGGCCCAAAAAGGCCCGACTGGCAGGGGTGGTGGCGATAGGATTGGCCTTGGTGGGCTCATTGATGGGGCTCTCACTGACCACCATCGGCAGAAGGACATGGGGGAGAGTTTTCACAAAAGATGAGGAAATTCTAGAGCTGACAATGGCGGTTCTGCCTATAGTCGGGCTGTGCGAACTAGCAAATTGCCCACAAACAACAAGCTGCGGGATTCTGAGGGGAAGTGCAAGGCCAGGGATCGGAGCAGGAATAAACTTCTGTTCATTTTACATGGTGGGGGCGCCGGTGGCCGTCTTGTCGGCGTTTGTTTGGAAGTTTGGGTTTGTGGGTCTTTGCTATGGGCTTTTGGCAGCTCAGATGGCATGTGTGGTCTCAATCTTAATAGTGGTCTTCCATACAGATTGGGAACTGGAGTCAATCAAAGCCGAAGACTTGGTAGGCAAAAACACCGATAACGTCTTTGCACATGCAAGCCACACAGCCATACGTGAGGAAGGTCCTGAATTTCTCAAAGAACCGCCTGTTCAAAAACAAGACACGTAAACTCAGATTGAATTTTGAATGATACAACTGTAACTAGGATTTAATTGGAAGCTACACTATATATTATAATTATCTTGATTTCTCTTCAAAGCCTATTATTTTGTTTGATTTATTAGGTAAATTGGAATCGGGATAAGTTTGTAATATATTGAGATAGTGAGATAGTGATTTTTTTGGTGGAGAATTTGGTGCCATATCAATGGATGAAATTTCCCTTTCAAACGATCGGAAATTATGTAACGAAAAAAATGGCAGAGGCATATGGAAGCACAGTAATAGACCAGCCATGTGTTGTGTGGTGTGTGCGTGTGTGACCATTGAGACAACAAATGAAACGTGCGCTACGCCACAGTGTATTTCGTACATGTAAATGCATGGATCCATAAACAAACCTTCAACAATACAGCTCTCATATTCTTCAAATCATCATTTATATACAATGTAGGACATTATAGTCATTTCCCAAGGCTAAATCTTCAGTTATGGTGGCGAAGTAGCCAAATTGATGGGTTTGTTTTTTTTCTTTTTCTGAGAAAACACCTTTTTTGTTTCAACTTGTGGTAAAAACTTTTAAACTTAGACGTGATATTATATACCTTGGAATTTGGTATATACCTCATCACACTAGCTTGATTCTTCTTTCTTAATGGTATAAAGCAATGCTGAACCAAGATATCTAACCAAAAATGTCCAAGTTTGTGCCTGTTCAGACCCATAGCCCAAACTCCAAGAGTTTTTCCTAATCAAGTTCACTCAAAGCTTCGAAACTTAGACGTCTTGGAAGGACAAATTTCTAATATAATCATATAATTCCATCAATACCATTGGGATATTTTCTATACAACAATCTTTTATATATGTGATTAACCAGACTAACTAACGCACACCACAACTGGTTTTGGTTGTCAAAGAAATTCGTAAGATATTTTATCCTAGGTAGGTGGTCACTATGGTTTGAACTCATTTCTTCTTAAATTCCTTTGATTTTTAAATGAACTCGTTAAAAGTTGTTTCGTGAAGTAGTATGTAAATCAATCCTGTTGTTATACACGTATTTTCAATCTTCATTTCTTTGTTCAAAGAACTTCTCAAGTTCAGGAACTTTCAAATCAACTCAACCGGAAACAAGTTTAGAAGATTTAGAATCCAATATGGTTTACTGTAGTAAACAGCCAAATATTGTTTTGGAAAGTCCAAAACAATTTCATATCATTATTCCCAAGCAGCACCTAAATCATACAAAACCTCTGATAAATGTTCCTGCTTGGGGGTTGGGTATTCCATTAAGAAAAAAAAAAGAAAAAAAAAAAGAAAAAAGGCTTCGCTAAATTTAAGGGCTTTGTGCATGTTAGGGAGGCAAAGATGATGTATAAATCTAATTGTTTTACCTGTCAAACTCAAACGGGAAGAGGTCATTAAAAGTTGAATCCAGCTTCCTTACCTGTGTGCAAGAAAGGCAGCAAAATAATGTCAAACAATTAGAGAACAGCGTGGCTTTATGCTTCTTCTGCAGACTCTTTAGACTAAATTTAATGAAATGTCGTTTAAGATCACTGCCTTTTTATGTCCTCTGATTGCTGACCCTTCAACTAATTTCCAGGGAATGAACCTATGTCAACTGAATATAAGCCCAACATTTCTGCCAACCGAAAGCAAGCTTGACTACAGATTCATTTAATAATGACTTTTCATCATTAAAGAACTAAAACATTGATTGCTCTTTGCATTCAGTATCCAAACAGAATTCAAAAAGTTGTGCAAATCATCTTACCTCCCCACAGGGTGCAGATCGGTGGAAATTAAAATAGAGATGTTAAGTTGTAACAAAAAGTAGAATTTTGGATAATGAGTCTTAGTAATTTAACTTTTTAATCTCCGTTTGATAACCATTTAGTTTTGTTTTTTGGATCTTGAAAAATAAAACACTACTGTCATCTATAATTTTTTTTGTTTTGTGATCTACTTTCTATCGATGTTTTAAAAAACCAAGTCAAGTTTCGAAAATTAAAAAAATAGTTTTCAAAAACTTGTTTGTATTTTTAGAATTTGACTAAGAATTCAAATAGTTTAAGAAAATCATAATCAAGACATTAGTAGGAAACCAGCGTGAGTTTTAAATTTTAAATACAGAAAACTAAAAACAAAATTGTTATCAAACAAACAAGATTAAAGTAATGGTGTCATATAGAACTAATACATTTTAGATGCAGTTTAGTGATAATTTTGGCTATAAGACTATTGTAATTCAAACTATGTAAAGAGATTCAAACCTACTATGTATGTAATACAGATTACCACTCAGCCAGTCAAGAGATAATTCAATTTTATGCCAAGAATTGATTAGTTGAGACTTTTCATGTTGAAAAGAAGAAAAAGAGGAAAAAAAAAACTATGCAGGGTGTAACCAAATTATGCAGAGACGTTACATCAACACCTAGCGTGCAACAGTAGTGGCGTGCATACTTTACAACATGGAACACCAATGCAAGGTTCTACATTACAATCAAACTCCATTTCCACAACGACGATGATATAGTAACTGATACGACCTGAAAACGACCGTCATGCAGCCGACTAAGTGACATGGAATCTTCATAACGATAAGAACGAATTTGCTTTTCTAATTCGAAATAACAGCCTCAGTAGGAACAAAAAAAAGCACAAGAAACATGCATAATGTGCTCAAGATTTAACTAAAACTGCCTGCCTGACTCTGAATTGCATCGTGAGAAAAGTGAAATTTACGACCTCAGTAAGAAAATTACTGACAGAGAAAAAAAATGAAAAACTAGTAGAAATTTTCTTTAGTGAGAATATGGAATCGTTTACCAGTCATCTCATCTCACAGTTGCTGTTTCTCAATCGCAAACTATAATGCTGTTCGCTTATCAACTCCGATTGTCGAAGAATTGGCTATTTGACGACGAGATGCCGGGAAACATCCACCAGATATGGGACACTGCAAGAGGATATAGGTCATGAAGTTCGTTAGTGTATTTTTCATGGCGGACATGATCCGGCAGTACTGATGAGGATAATAAAGCAGGAATAGTCGTAGAGTACCGATATTGCAGCACCAGCAACACGATTGTTCCCCAACTTTCTCGATTTCGATTAACATATTCATCAACTCCATTGGCAACAGAAAATCTGAATTCCATCTCGTCCCGACATAATCCGCCATTGTTCATCAAAGCTCGGTGAGAAAATTTCACATCATATGACAGACGTCCACCACACCAAATCGTTTTCAACAAGCTATGATTATCGCTCAGCATTGATGCGGAATTGGAGAATATTCTTCAAGTGATTTTGACTTCCGAGACAAGAAAAAGGGGAAAAAAAAAAACAATGGAAATATTGAAACCACAGGAGATAAACTTCAGTTCTGATTTCGAAGACGATCAAAGTTCGCGAGCAGGATCTGTTCAATTTCCTGGCGGGTTCTTTTTTTTTTCTTTTTACCGAGGAAAACCGTAATTATATGGGCCTCGTATAACCCGATCTGCTAATTGGGCCAATATAAGCCCAGTGATTAATTGGATCCAAAATGCAAAGGCAAGCCCACTTTAAATTGGTCCAAATTTCAAGAGTTTTTATGCGTTGTAGAGGAATCGAACCCCTAATTTGTTGGTCGAGTATGTATATTTTAATATATTTGGGCTTATTATACGTTATATTTTACCTCCAAATGCAAAATATTTTTCTTCTATTTTTTTTTTTTTGTTTTTTTTCACTAATTATTATTCCAAAAGTGTGAATTTCACCTTATAGAATTCTTCAAGTAAAATCTAGGTAATTCAATGAAGTCCATATTTATGGGGTAATTAAAATGTATTATGTAAGAATTTGAAGTGTTTTTTTAACAAATTATTAATAGGTTGATTTGTAAATTCTACCTACATACCCGTTTGGATGTTCTAATTTTTCAAATTTTCCATTTTATCCATTTGATCCTACTTTTACACTTTTTAACTCAGCCGGTTTGAGACCCGCCAAACAACTTCGATTTAGGAATAGTGAAAGAAAGATAAGGGAAGGAATTGGTGGAGGAATTGGTAGACTCATCAAGCCTACGACCCAAAGACACTACCTAATCACTAGAACTGAATCTTTTGTACAAGTGGTACTTGAGAGGAGAAAATAATGTCTCTTTTCTTTCCAAAGAGATCCAGGTAAAGGTAAAGAACAAATGAAAAGATAAAAATTGTTTGTATAAGCATATTTAACAGCAATTAGTTAAAAGAAAATTACTAACGTACTAATAATAATGGATTGAATGAGGACGAACTAATAATAATAATTCTACATACCCTTTTGGATGTTCTAATTGTTTGTATAAACATATTTAACAGCAATTATTTATCGAACTTGAAATGGTAAACTTGTAAAAGAAATGGATTGAATGAGGACGAACTAATAATAATAATTCTACAATGTGGAGTGAAAATTTGAACATCTAGACCAAATTAGTAACAGGTCAGTTCAAAAATAATGTCGAAGAATTAGAACAATGAAATGCATCATTTTGAAACTCCTAATAATATAGAACTGCACCAAATGCAATCAACATGATTTTGAACGACGGAGTGCTTTGTTCACACAGGCGAACAAGCTGATTATGTCTAAAGTAAAAGGCTGGAGTGTATTAGGCAAAATCCACAGATAAGAAAGAAAAAATATGGTTGCAGAAGGGGAGATTGTCTTGTCCACAAGGATATCATCATTTGATTAAATAGCGATGATCATAATCAGTTAAACATATTCATTAATCTGCATAATATACATGTTTATCAGCCAGATTTGAATAGTAAAACTGCTTTCTGATCCAGGTAGAAGTAAACAAAGTGGTTTGTCTCGTGGGTCACATATGAACCTGCCATAAAAACAACAGAAATTCAACATTAAGAATCATGGACCTAAAATCCTCGACTTATGTCACGTTATTGGTTTCGATCGCCACTACCTGTCGTTGGCTTTGGCTTTGCATCAACTTGATGTTAAGAATGTTTTTTTTTCTCTCTCACAAAGATAACAGAATAAATTTTGAAACCCTCAAATGACCAACTTATGTCACGTTATTCACCGTGACAGCCACAACTCATGATTGGTATTTGCATCAGCTTGATGGTAAAAATGCCTTCCTTCACAAAGATAAAGGAATTTATATGGAGAAATTACGCGGTTTCTTTGCTGAAAGAGTGAATGGATAAGTCCATTGACATCTCAAATCCTTAGATGTTGATAACATTGACATTGACCACTCGGGAGGTTGCAAGAAATATTGTAATGGCCCAAGGCCACCACTAGCTTATATTGTCCTCTTTGGATTTTCTCTTTCGGGCTCCCTTCAAGGTTTTAAAACGCGTCCTTTAGGGAGAGGTTTCCACACCTTTATAAGGAATGTTTTGCTCCCCTCTCCAACCGATATGGGATCTCACAATCCACCCCCCTTGGGAATCCAGTGTCTTCGCTGGCACACCGCCTAGTGTTTGGCTCGAATACTATTTGTAACAACTCAAGACCACCGCTAGCAGATATGGTCCTCTTTGGGCTTTTTCTTTTGGGATTCCCCTCAAGGTTTTAAAGCGTATCTTCTAGGAAGAGGTTTCCACACCCTTATAAGGAATGCTCTGTTCCCCTCTTCAACCGAGGTGGAATCTCACAAATATAAACAAATACACTCTTTTCTATTGTTAAATGATTTGGGATGTCTAATCTGTCTCAGGGATCTGGATATGTTTTGGTTAGCAAGAGCTGAAAGCAATTTTTAAGAATTTTGAAACCTTTGGCAAATTATGTAGGTAAAAAGCACGAACTTGACTGATGTTATGGACAGATTAGACTCTCTCTCACTCCCTGGGCCAGGAAGGGACATTTTCCCATTAGGCTGCGTTACCTTCATTGAATAGGTTGCCAACTCAAAACCGAAAACAAAAACTCTGACAGAAACGTTAGTCCAACCTACCGTGGGAAACAGCTCAAAGGATTAAGAAGTTCTTATGTTCAGGAGGAAGAGTTTCTAACTTCTAGAAGCCGGAAGGGATAATGGTATCAGTTTCTTTTTTGAGGTAACTTTTGGTTCACCTATTTACAACTTTACTGACCTAAATTTCCAACATGAAAAAAAATGGTTCGATGAGGTCACCATAATGTGGCTATTCGTAATAAAGTTGGATGTGGATTCAAAATTCAGCATGCCCCTAATAACCACTCTTATAGATTTGAGTTATTTCAACCTCATACATCTAACTTATTAAAGTCGTGAGCCACGCCGTGGTGGCCTCGTCACACTTTCATAACACTAAATTAGTCCAGGGTGATTTTGAGTTCAAATTTCATGAAAAACTAAAATCAGACGTTAGAAGGAAACGGAATGTGAAAGTTTGGGAAGAAAAACTTTTATGTTCCCTGTACAAGTTACACTTTACAAATCTAAATCAGCTCAATTAAATGAAATCTTGTGGAAGGACTTCTTGTTTATCAAATGCAAGTGAAAAATCGAACATTCACAATCTAGAAATAGTAACTCCTTTTAGTACTCGACTAGTTTAACCAGATCAAACACTCATCATAAGCAACCTACAAGCATAGATCTATTCCATTCACAATGCAAACCTTCGCCACCAAACTTGAAGCCAGAAGGCATATTATCAATCAGCAAAAACACAAAAATTTGAGTTGAAATTTTAGAGGAAGAGAGAGATCCGTTACCAAAATTACGGCCAACAATGCAGTGCCAGGTCGGTCCATGCCTCTTATCGAACTCTTTCTTAATATACTCTGCTACATCCTTCTCTACACTATGCTTTTCAAATGCCTGAAACCAAAATCCCCAACAGAAACGAGGATCGTGAGAAAGAACAACAGTATAAACACAAAATTCGAAGTAAAAATAAGAAAAAGAAAAATAGCGATCGAGAAAAGAGAGCTGACAGCTATGGCAACATCGATGGCCTCCTTCTGTACATCACCAAACATATCGGCACTCTTTATAACGATTTTCTTGCCAGTCGTCGCCATGACCAGCGGTTTCCGATCCTCCGACACAGATTTCACCATAAGATTCCCTTGAATGCTTCTCTTAGCATCGTTACTCATTTTCAGCTTCTTCTTCTTCTTCTCTGATCTTCTGTGCCGATTCGGTAGCAAGAAGGGAACCTTTTTGCAATCTCTGCAACTTTTTCGTTTCAAGAAATTTGGAATTACTTCATCATTTGACTGGAAATTGTAAGAAAAACTCGTGAATTCTCAGAATCTGAGAGGATAAAAGATTTGACTCTTTCTGGAATTTATTGCTGCTTTTGCAATCTGGTCTTTAATGGAGCCGTCGGTGAAATTTGTCTCCGGTACAGCTGGCAAAACGCCGTCGTTTAGCGCCTCCGAAAAGCTAATTCAGCTGAAGAACGAAAAGTGGTACTGCTCTCCTTACTGTACTGCATCTTCCAACCACTCATTTTAATTTTTAGGTTAAAATAATAATTTACTTTCCATTATTCATTTCACATCTTTCTTTTTTTTCATCTCAAAATCAATTAATAATGAATAAAGTAACTCATTTATTTTTAATAATAGTTTTTTTTCTTTATTTATCATTCCAATTTTAATAATAAAGACGAAATTGAGACCTCTCGAACCCATCTTAGTCCATTCCTCGAAGAAAGAGATCTAAAAAGAACCGAGAAGGCTAATTGGAGCTAGAGAAAAAAAAACTCGGTAGTTAGCTTAATAAACAATATCTTAATCAGATTTTCTATAAAAGGGAGAACCGAGACCTATCTGAACTCACGTTAGACCATTCCATGAGATAAGAGATCCGAAAAAAAATAGGTAGTTCGCTTAACGAATAAAAATGTCTTAACAAAATTCTATGTAAAAGAGAGAACCGAGACCCATCTGAACCTGCCTTAGCCCATCCCTCGAGGAGAGAGATCCAAAAAAAATGGAGAGGACTAGTCGGAGCTAGAGAAAAAAAACTAGGTATCTCGTTCAATACATGATAAAATACACGAGTCACTCCTCTTAATATCAGCTGATTTTGAGTCGAAAGCATCTTACACATACACACACACACACACATATATATATATATATATATATATATATATATATATATATATTTATTTATTTATTTATTTATGGTAATTTTAACACATTCTTATTTCGTTATATGAGGAAAAAAAGATTTATTATTACTTCTTCTCTAAAAAAAATTCAAAATATTTATATTTCTTATTTTTATAATGGGATAGTTATTATTACGATTTAAATAATTTTTTATAAAACTCGTAACGAACAAACACTAAAACATAGTAAATGAATAAAAATGATAATTTTACAATATTGAAGGGTTGGCATTTATTAAGGAAAGTTTTTTAAAAATATATATTTTATATAAAAATTAAAAATCTATTATTTTTGTTATCCATA